GGGGTATGGAATTTAGAAGAGATGTTTCGCATTCTAGTAACTGAACCTTGTTTTGTGAATCTTATGTGATGTCTTTTATCATTAAATGATTCAATATCATTTTAAAAATGCCAAACATTGCACCTCAGATTTTAAGAATTTTCCAGTGGATAGCATATCCCAGATTCTATAGATTTGAGTTGTTGGAAGGCTAGGCTAAACAAGTTAGTGATCGAGTTGTGGCCAGTATTCACATAAATATACCATGCAAATGCTTAACTGAAGATTCCGTCTATCTACAGTATAATGTAACGCCGTATATCCAAAAATCTGTTTCAGAAAACAGACGAAATGCAGTCCTAGGGGCGGAGAAATATGAAAATGTTCTGGGGGAGAATGCCCCCCAGACGTACCCCCTAATCAGTTACATACGACACCACACTAAAGCTCTTGTCACCAACAACCAACTGACATGCCCGGCTAGGCCTGTTTCATACGTCGCACTATCGTCGACAATTTTTAATTGAACGAATTACATGCGTCGGTAGTACATCGTATGAAACGAATTAAAGTCGTCTGATGAATTAAATTCGTTATGGTCAGACGCGGATACACCGTCTCAGTCTGTAGCGCGTCTTCGTTTCATACGACGTCTTAGACTTATCGTCGTGTCGAATTAAATGCATAAATTATGTTAAAGTCGGTTTCTCTCTTTCTGATCTCGTGGTTTTTATTTCTGGGTAATCCATGATCGCTAGTCATGAAATGAATTCGTCTGAATAGTTAAATTCGTCGTTTGAAACGAAACCATTCTAATTATTCTAATGTCGAGCAATTGACGAATTTAATAACGAATTAAATTCTGCATCTGAATTAAATTTGACGTCAGTGAAACAGACCTCATCTCTTCACACACAGTATAGTATGGTCCACTTTCTGTAGAGGTAACCCCCCGCTGACGAATTCTTAAAAAAAGGCCCTGCTACCGGAGCACTTCAATTTTTCAAGGATTCAATTAGCTTAGCCAATCAACGATGAAAAACTGTCAAATGCCGGCATTGAGAAACATGAAAGTTTACTTGAGCCGTAGATCTAGAAATCGGAAATTGAAAATGAGATAGGCTGCTTGAGGGTCAACGTAATTCATATTTTATACCAGAAAATGATTTTTCTGGTAACATATTTACAACAATTCCGCAAGTTCAAATTTTTTCTGAGTTATATGTCGCCACGCATCTTGAATTCGAACTGTTCACCAATAGATAGAAATTGTTCGTAACGTAGATAGATAGAAATTGTTCGTAACGGGAATCGCTGAAAGTGTAAACAAAAGTCAAATCCTTTCTTACCTCAATCAAAGAAATATTTTCCCCACTTATATCTCGGTTTTTCGAAGCCGCCGTCGAGAGACTCTTTCGTGTAAACTCCATATACCCTCAGGCGCCAGTGCACTGGTGAAGGAAAACTTCTGGCCCACGTTTGTTACTTGCAAACCATGGCGACCAAAAGATCATGACATGAATACAACTCAGAAGAAAATAAACTCGACCCAGAATGGGAGCTACTCAACCCTTGTATAATGGCGGAGACACCCTTGCAAAACATTTCTACAGTACACGGTATGGGAAGGTCTAGAAGACAGCATTTTGGCCGACTCAAACCAATGTGTACTCGAAATCTCAGTAACCTTGTTAAAATTCCTATTACCAAAACTCATTCTCCAAGAACTGAATTCGTTCCAAAAATTATGCTAACTAATGTTATGTCTCTAGTTCCTAAGCTTGACGAGCTACGTATTTTGACCTCTGCACAAAGTTTTGATTTGGGTTTTATAACTGAAACTTGGCTGCGAGAGTCCGTTTGTGACACCCACGCGACTTTATTTGATTACCACCTCGTGAGGCGGGATCGTAGTCTTGGTATCCACGGTGGTGTCTGCATGTACATAAAGAATTCCATCCGTTTCAAACGATTACCTGAAATTGAACATTTAGACTTTGAGGTTTTATGGACACACATTAGACCACCAAGATTACCAAGGGGAATTAACGGCATTGTTTCTGCGTGCGTCTACCATCCTCCAAGTTCCAGCAATACAGATCTTTTTCAATACCTATCAGACTCACTGACACTACTGGAAAGTCTTTTTCCAGGCTGTGGAATTATTATTGCTGGTGATTTTAACCACTTTGACACTAAAGATCTTTGCCGAGATTTTCAGTTAAAACAATTGGTTGATAAACCAACTCGTGGTGCCAAGATTTTGGATCTTATACTTACAAACATGCATAAATTTTACGATGTACAACCAGCCATGGTTTTCCCTCCTTTCGGATTATCAGACCATAATGTGATAATGGTTGAGCCCAAAATTAAAACATCATCAGAAACCACAAGTAGAAAGACAGTAATAAAAAGAGACATACGTCAATCACGCAAAAAAGAACTTGGTCGATATCTGAGTAACTTTGACTGGCAACTTATCGATTCCTCCGAACCGTGCGATAAGAATTGTGATATCTTATGCTCCGCAATAAAGACGGGTTATGACATCCTTATGCCTGAGAAACACGTTAAATTCCATCGCAACGACAACCCATGGATAACCGAAAAATTGAAACAGCTGATCAAGTTTCGACAACGTGCGTTTTCATCTAATAACACTACTCTTTTCAAATTCTACCGAAATAAAGTGAATAGAATGAGAAAATCTTGCCGGACAGACTATTTTGCTTCAAAAGTTGCTAATCTGAAAAAGTCTAACCCCAAATCTTGGTGGACAGAGGTTAAACGTATCTCCGGTATGACTGGCAGTTTGCTTAACCAACTTCATGTCGAAGATACAGAACATTTAACACACAAAGGTTTTGCAGATTTAATTAACAAAAGCCTAATAGAACCAATGAATACTTATGATCCCTTAAATGTTACAGATTTGAACACCTTGTTTGAGGAGATTCCTGATTATCCGTTAGATGTAAACATGAATTTGACAAATACTGCATCGGTCTTGAAAAAACTGAAAAGCTTGAACCCGCATAAAGCTCCGGGCCCTGATGATATCCCCAATTGGATTCTTCGTGATTATGCCGAAATCCTTGCTCCCTCTGTATCGGACTTATTGAATTCGTCCTACAAGCAAAAAAGACTGCCCTCATGCTGGAAACAAGCTAACGTTACACCTATTCCGAAAGAGAAACCTGTTAAAGACATAAGCAAACAGCTCCGACCTATTTCGTTAACTCCGGTTCTGTCTAAACTTGCAGAAGAGTTTGTTGTTGAAAAATATATCGCTCCAGCAGTGTTGTCGTCAATTGATCCTTTTCAATTTGGTGGCATCCCCCGATCATCTGCTACAAAAGCCTTAATTTCTATGGTTCATGCGTGGACTCAAGCCACAGATGGAACTGGAAACGCTGTAAGAGTGGTTCTTTTTGACTATAAAAAGGCCTTCGACTTGATTGATCATAAGATCTTAGCCACGAAAATCATCCAATTGCCAATGCCAAATTTCATTAAGCGGTGGGTAATTGACTTTCTGATGAACAGGCAACAACGGGTGAAACTCGCAAGAGACTGTATGTCTGAATGGATTGACATTCCTTCCGGTGTCCCTCAAGGAACCAAATTGGGACCTTGGTTATTCATCCTAATGATAAATGACCTACGCCCCCCACATCATGAGCGATGGAAATACATCGATGATGCTACGGTATCTGAAATCATTTACATCAACACACCCAGTAAAATTCAAGATACAGTCGATTGTGTTCAAAATTGGTCTGTAGAAAACAAGATGCAATTAAATGCCTCCAAGTGCAAGGACCTTGTTATCAGTTTTACAAAACCTGAGAAAGAATTTCCGCGCCTTAAGATCATCTCAGGCCAAATCGAGACAGTGAACCACGCGAGAATCCTAGGTTTGACAATTTCTAAAGATCTAAAATGGAACCAACACATAACTAACATAGTTAAGAAGGCGAACAAACGGATTTATTTTATTATTCAGTTGAAACGTGCTCATGTACCTGAAGCTGGCATAATAAATTTTTACACTACCTGCGTCAGACCAGTCATGGAATTCAGCTGTCAAGTTTTCCACTTCGCCCTTCCTTCCTACTTATCTAATGCCCTGGAACGGGTTCAAAAGCGTGTTTTATCAATCATTTATCCACTGACAGGTTATGCGGATTGTTTACAAAAATCGGGCATCAAACCATTAAGTGACAGGCGTGTGGATGCATGCGAGAAACTGTTTAATGAAATCACCACAACACCAGTAGCTAATATGCATAATCATGTACCATCTAGATACTTTCCAAATTACGACCTTAGACACTCAAGGTCTTTTGTTGTTCCTCAGACCAAAACGAACAGATTTAGAAACAGTTTTTTCCCTTCATCTGCAAGGCATATCAATAATATTAACTAACAATCGATTCTGATATTCAGTTTTAGACTAGCTAACATTTTTTTAGAAATTTACTAGTTTCATAGCTAATTTGTAATGTAACTTTAAACTTCTGTAAATATAGAATAACTAATTTAATCATTTTTCTTGTAAAATTTAGCACGCAATTCAGCCTCTTGGCTGCTATGTGTTAATCTTATTAAACAAACAATCTATCTATCTATCTATCTATCTATCTATCTAATAATAGATAGTTTGCGACCTTTCTCTTGTCGCTGAAATTCAGTAAGATCACCGACCATGGAGAGTTTTCGGCCTTTCTCTGCGCGGTTAAACTCACCCAAGTCTACAGATCTATATAAAGAGGGTATCATTGTTAAATTGATTTTATTTTTAATTTTTAATTTGGAGAAAAAACAACCGGACACTGTTTGATATCATGTAACGTAAAAGCTATAAAAGCTATCGCAATGAAATAAAGATCATTGCATTCAGAAAGGACTATAATTTACTTAGATTCTGATATAGGCCTATGAGCACTTGAATTGACATCCAGTATTGACTGTGCTATTGTCTATTGATGTTTGAACGTTGAACTACTGTTTTTGAAAATGCCAAAAATTAGCAAAAAACAACCTTATATAATTACCCTACTTATATTAGTCCTTTCTGAATGCAATGATCTTGATTTCATTGCGATAGCTTTTACAGCTTTTACGTTACATGAAATCAAATTACAGTGTCCAGTTTTTCGGGAGACACTCAGTAGAAGAGCAAGAATTCGAAAAATATAGAATAGAAAAATGGAAGGTGAATAGAAAACTAGAAGCACAGAAGAGAGAAATGGTATAGAATGACCTGGAAGATATTAGTTAGTCGTGATGAACTGATGAGTGTGAGCTACTAGGTAAGTCACTAGGAATGATGCATTAGCAGTTGGGTGGAGGTAAGTCTTATGTAGGTATGATTTAAGGTGGGGAGAGTGTCGCAGCCATAGATATCTTATATATCTATGGTCGCAGCAGTTGGAAGGAACAGATTTACATAAATAGTTCCATAGTTTACAATCCTAAGAAGTAAGAACTGTGAAGAACTTTACATGATGAAGTAAAGCTACTAAAGTTTATTTTCAGGTTCATTTGCATTATAGACTAAATTTTGATCTAAACAAGTCTAGACAGCTTGAAAGAGCATCACCTTGCGAAATTTGCAATTTTCAGTCATTTTGTATTACAAACGGGAAATTGATGCCTCAACAGCAACACCCGATTGGGCTGTCAATTTCGGCATGTAGTAAAACACTGACTACCGGAACACCGGAACACTACCGGAACACCGGAACACCACCATTTTGTTTGGGGTTAGGGTTAGGGTTAGGGTTTGGGGTTAGGGTTGGGGGTTAGGGTTGGGGTTAGGGTTAGGGTTAGGTGGTGTTCCGGTGGTGTTCCGGTAGTCAGTGTTTTACTACATGCCGTCAATTTCCCGTGCGTAATACAAAATGACTGAAAAACGGCAAACTTCGCAAGGCTATATTATCCGCATTTTACAACATTTCGCAACGAAACTTTGGAATATTACTAATTTTGTGATGCTCTTTCAAGCTGTGATAAAATTTTTGTCTAAATCAAAATTTAGTCTATAATGCAAATGGCCATTAGCGTGCGATGAATCTGCTTATGTACCGAAGTTTGGTATCTCAGCCAAGTATGTGGAACTCTTGCTGTACTTACATTATTTACATATGACCTTTCCAAGGCTAATTAAGGTATTCAAAACCGTAGTTAAGTATAGGGACTAGGTAGCTACAATCTTGGACCAGAGGAGGAGTGAGGACTATACCGGCATGCAACGCGGTCAGGCGCGGTTTTTTACATATTATCAGGGCGCTATAAAACACGGGCGGTGAAACGGAGATAGCGCCCCTGATCTTTGTGTGATGCGCGTACCCCCCGTATACATTAATTTATATGCCAATAAAAATGGAATTGGAATGTTTATGCAAAAAGAGCTGAAAAAACTAAAGTAAAAAATGTTTTCTGCACATTCCTAAACAACTTGATGGTTTGAAGACATTGTTGGATTCATTTTCTGTATATCTGATGAAGGAAAGATTCATCATGAAGAAGGAAAGATTCATCATGAGCGAAATAAAAATTTGAAAAGGAATCGAGCTGATCGAATGTGGGCATATTCCAAATACGAAAATTTTGGTATGAAATGGGATATTTTACTTCATAATGCGAAGGTAGGACAAACATTTTCACAGTAAGAATATTCTGACATTGCTTGGCTACTCTTTTTCAATAAACATATATAGCCCAAAATTGACAGTGCATGCATTTAAAACAGGTAGAATTTGAAAAAAAAACCCCTACAATTTCATTTTGTTCGACAATTTGAAAACTTAAATATATAACCGTTTTTTGTGTTAATCAGCCGGCCTGCTTGGAAATCCACTGAAAGTTCATTATAAAGTGTTTTTACTAATTGATTTGATTTCTATTATTGGAGTATAACTGCCGCCGACACTCCAAAAATATTCAGGGTGAATCTTTTTTCGTACGATTGTAGTCGTTGACATTGCAGTGACAGTGTTGCGGAAAACTATAAAGGCTTCCAAAAATCTCCATTTTATGAAAAAAAGCACAAAAAAGCACCGTTCAATTTTACGTGAGACATAAAGCCAAGTTAAATGTCTATAATTTGATGTTTTCAAGTTTATCTCAACCTATCTCAACGAGGAGAAAACACTATTTTAAATACGTCCGCGCTTTGACAAAAAAGAAAAAATGTCGTCAAAATCGAGTTCAAAATGCATGTCTTTTCCTCAACAATCGCTTTGTTCATTTTGCAAGTGAAATAGATACCAATTTTAGCAATATAAGCTGATACTAGATACTTCAATAAACATTTATAGTATGTATTTGAGGCAGGAAGTGATTTCGTTTAATTAATAATTGAAAATTTGTGTTGTTTAAATATCGTATTATCTGCATAAATGAGTTGTCTCTATTGTCGTGTGGAGTATACGGAAAACTATAAAGGCTGCAAGATATCTCCTTTTTCTGAAAAAAGCACAAAAAAGCACCGTTCAATTTTACTTGAGACATAAAGCCAAGTTAAATGTCTATAGTTTGGTGTGTTCAAATTTATCTCAACCTATCTCAACGAGGAGAAAACACTATTTTAAACACGTCCGCGCTTTGAATTTTGCGAATATTTTCATCGCTCGAGTAAAATTTTTGCCCTGATATTTTCATTCACCGAGTGTTCAGTAACAAACAACACAAGCTATTACACGTGATATAACTTATTAAATAATATTTCAAATTTTAATGAACGAAACATAATTACTTAGCATTTAAATCCTTTGTTTTATCGTTTGCTTGTTTACATTTTTTTGTTGCCATCTTGTACGCGATTTTCTGATTTTTTTAGAGAAAGCGCGCTCGCGCCAATCCTAATGAGCAGGGCGCTTATATATAGGGCGGTTTAGGGCGGTGCAACCATGGGTGCAACCAGGGCGTAGTAAAACACGGGCGAGGAAACGCGCGGTAATCGCGCTGATCTGTGTGTGATGCGGCTGGAGACTGGCGAAAGCGCGCGTTTTGCGAGAAATACAAAAAGAACGGCACAAAATGGCAACAAAAAGATTTGCCGAAGACTACGAAATAACAAACGAAAATATAGGTAAGTTTTAAATTATTACATAATTATTTAACGTAATTTGAAAGAAACACTATTATACTTCAGCTTTACTTAATTAAAATAAACAAAAAGCGCATTGCGTTGTAAAATGTCAATGTTTTAAGAAATGTTTTGATTTTTGTTCCCTTCAAAATTTGTTATTTTTGCGCACAAAGTCAGGTTTTAATACGAGTTTTTTAACGCTCTAGGTAGTCCTAGGTGAATTTGATAGCACAAAAAGTTTCCCAAATTAACATACTTGAGAATAATTAAAATTAAGAGTCGGACTTTTTTGGACTTTTTTGCTATAACTTTTTTCCCTGAACATAGTGCTGTTCATCATTTGTATCGCAAGGAGAAGCAACGCAAGTTAACACGAAAGTTTTTAAAATATCAAGCGGAACATTTTAAATATTGTTCAATCTAATTATATTGCCACAATATTTGATTTTAGATACAAATAACATTCCCCTAGCCGTCAAAGACATAATTAGTTCAAAAACAATTAGTTTCAAAAACAATATATAG